TTATGTTACTTTGCATGAAATGTTTTTGATAAAGAAATGAAGACAACATGTAGTACTCAATACTCATCTTCCTTTATTGAATCATTAATTTTTAGCAAAAATACTTTATTAGAAATTCTGATCTTTTCTGTACAAAAGACTTCTTTACGGAAAGCTTGTCAAATTTCGTGAAGACACATAAATCGTATCATTTCGGGCAATGTATGGTTACAATCGTATCGCTGTATCTCCACTCCTTTACTTTAGTTAAATTTATGTACCTGTGGTCGGCAGATCAAAGCTCTTACAACGTGTTAGCTTTAAACGCGCTAATTGGGCAAACTTGCTGAATTTTTAAAAATTCAATAGGTCACTGTTCAATAACTTGCGTAGGAGTAAACATCCTAAATTCAGTACCTGATCACCTAAGAGAAGTGGATACTTTAAAAAAGGTTTGTGAACATCCTTAAACTATTTCTTAAATTTTTAACGACACAGTGGGAATACACCGTCTATCTGTTTTAATCTCGCATAGTTGGAGGTTGGGAGTTACACCAGTTCAGATAAGTTGGTTGGGTTTTTATAGTTATAGACTAGTATAATTTGTTTACTTTACTTCTAATTAACTTCTTAATTTCAGCTTTTACTACTAGATGGGGAGGCTGGAATGCCAACTTCAGGAGGTGACGGTCCCTCACTTACCCACAGTATCACGACATTTTACTGCCGTAGTAAACAACTGCCGGTGCATTTTTCAAAAATTAAAACAATGACCAATAACACGTGGGTACAAATAATTATGTTCTCAAAACAAAACATTTCCCAGCAGACTATATTCTCAAAAATTACAGTAAACTAATAAACTATCGCACAAAAATTTCAGTTATTTATTATTCAAGTTGCTGGAAAAACAGAATAATAAATAACTGAATAAGTTGCTGATAAACATAATAATAAATAACTGAATAAGTTGCTGGAAAAAACAGAATAATAAATAACTGAATAAGTTGCTGATAAACATAATAATAAAGTAACTGAATAAGTTGCTGGAAAAACAGAATAATAAATAACTGAATAAGTTGCTGGAAAAACAGAATAATAAATAACTGAATAAGTTGCTGAGAAAAAAAGGCTATCACT